TTGCTTAGACCTAGTAAGAATTAAAAGCATGAACGAGAGAAGTGATGTATATTTAGAGTTTCCAAGTCGATCTTCTTTGTCTCATTGAAAATTGAAAGGGTGGATTTGGCGGCGGGTCCCATAATGGTGGTGGACCTACCAATATTATTTGTCATCTAAGTGCATTTTTATGTGTGATTGTGTGTTTTAGAAGAAATTCAATTCTTTTCGAGCTTGTTTGGTGCACATTAAAANAAATTCAATTCTTTTCGAGCTTGTTTGGTGCACATTAAAATGAGATAATGCATTTTTTGAAGTGATGTGATGGGGAATATGTGGTTAAAAAAGAAGGAAAATTTATTGATGTGATGAAAAATATTATTTTATTGAAGAATGTGTGATTGAAAATGAATAGAAGAATGAGAATGAAAAAAATAATGTGGATCAAACAGGGCGTAATATATCTGTTGAATTTTGAAACTTACAAGTTCCCACATACAATTTTTTTTTTTTGGCAAATCAACCAGCAACACTTGTTATGGGTCAGTTTAGCCCAATACATTTTGATACCTTTAATTAGACTTGACAATGAAAAGAGATGTCGCCTTTCACACTACACCATTAATGTCGTTGATACATTGAATTGTGAAAAAAAAAAAAATCAAATATAATTAGGAAAGAAATACATGTGAAAATAGAAATATTTTTCTTTGTTCTGTATGTCTTAAGAGCTTGTTTGAAATATGTTTATAAATGATTTAAATTATAAATAGATACGAATATGTGTAAATAAATGAGTTGTACTTGTAGATCCCTCGAAATGTATAACTAAAATTAGAGGTTTCAATGTTTATAAATAATTCATAACACATGAGTCAAACATTGACTTAGGCACAAGTAAATGTCCGCGGTAGAACAAAAAAAGGATAAAAAGGTGGTGAAACCACATTTACAATAATAGCAAAGGAAAAACTCCTTTAGAAGCAATAATGTTTTTGTGGTCTTAAAAACAACTAGGAATGCTACTTTTGCTGGTAAATTCCATTTGTGATCATGAACTATAACGTTATTTAACTTCAAATTAATTTCAAATTTCACCAATCTATCACATTTAGACGCCTATCGTCCTTCAAATTGAGGAAAATTACTTAGATGACATTTGTACCATAACTGATTTTTCAGGTAATTGCTAATCAACACATTAATAAAAATAGAAAATGAAGGTTACTGCAATGCCTTTAAAATAGAAGGTCAAAATAGTATTTTTTTTTTTTTTTTTTATTTCTACATTTTTATGATGTTGCGTAATGATAAGTTGGAAATTGTGTGAAATATATATCTGTTGCACTACGACGAAAGTCAATTATGCAATTTTCATCCGTTTGCGATACAACATATAAGAGTGGTAAAATCGAATAAGTAAACTTGAAGTTCAATGACTCAATTAAAATTAAATTGAAGTTGATAAACATATCCGATACAAATTTATATTTAGTAATTAAAATTTGGCTGAAAGTTAGATCACATGTGAAATTACCCTACTTTTGTACAAAAAGCATTTGTATAAAAAGTAAGGATAGAAAAATATCCATATGCATAATACAATAACACTATTCCCAGTTTTCCATCCAAATAAAAAAACTTGAAAGAAGAAAGATTGCTTTGGCTAATAAATCTGGTGTCTCCAGTCATGCCACCTTCTCCACCTATAAAAACAACCACATAACAAAACTGAGTAGCATTCGGCTAAATTTGACAAATATTTTGTACGCCTTTTTTTTTAAAATCATATTTAAATTCTTCAATCCAACGTATCAAATATTCATCGGAAGACGATATACATATAACTCACCAGTGAAAATCCCATCTGGGATGGATTTTGGACATCCGATTTCTGTCATAGGGGTGATCCGTTTCAGCCCTTTTGGTGTTCCGAAAAGCACAGCATCCAACGGAATAGATGCCAATTAAGAAGACAAGCATAACAATGTTGAGGACTGAAAGTTTGTGCCAATCCCTTCTTACCTCTTCCAGCACTCCGGCCTTGCACGAGTCGCACTCGTAGCACAGCCCGGTTGGGTCATTTCTCCACAAATAGCAATCAGGGTTCTGCGCCAGCGTCGTGCCCATGTAATTGCAAGAACTCGGCGGTTTGCAGCAACCGGACTGCAAGTTGTGGCACCATATGTATAATAATATCATACATTCACTAACAAACTTAAGTTTCTATAAAGTAAAATAATTATGTGCTTTTCTAAAAGTAACTTTTAATCTAAATTAAACATTCATTAACTTCATTTTATAAACAACTTTTTTAAGTAAGCATAAGAACTTCAATTTTTTTTTTTTGCTTTTTCATAATAATCGTGCAAAAAGTAAATAGATAGACCAATTCCAAGTTAAATTACTTCTGTTATTGATAGAATAATCCAAGAAATATAAAATTTTAGGGCTGAAACACATGTTTACCAAAGGAATATAGGAATAAATTGATCATTGTGCAAATAAATCTTAAATCAGAAAGAGATATCTGAAAAAAAGTTAAGAGAAATCTTTAGAAAGTAAAATGAAAAAAAAGAAAAAGAAAACTCCAAGATTCAGGAGAAATATTAAAGAGAAGAACAATAATAATTTTTCAAAAGATAAAAGAAGAACTTAAATTTACTTTACAATAAACTACTCAAGAAAGTATATGAACAACTTATTATTTACTAGGAAATTATTGCATTAAATTTTTTTACTTAGCTCTTTATGTTAAGGATAAAATCCCTGCATAGAACAAAATTATTGAAACTATAACCAAAATATAAAGGATTTGACTAGTCTTCTTAGCAAGAATGACCTTTTAAGATGAAACACAAGTCTTAATATAGTATTCGACTCCACTAAGTTCAGATATGCAATTCAATCTGATTCCAGGAATAGTTTTCTCAAACCGTCAAACATGCTAACCTTCATATATAGTTGCTAGGTGTAAATTAGAGGAGAAGAAAATTTAAATCACCTGAATAGGAGACATGTCTTTTGTCAAATAATCAAAAGGTGTCCAAAAAACAACCTTGGCACAAGTCTTTGAACCCAAAATACAAGTTCTAACAGTCATCCAATAATGAGGGTCCTTAATCCTTTTCCTCAACCATGGAGAATAATTATCAAGATGATACTCCTTGTACATCCTACCAGGCACTTCCAGTCCTCCACTTTGGCTCGTAACGGCGAATCCAAAAATAGTTAAAGCTATTAAAGCCCCTATAAGAAATATCATGACCAACAAGTACACCCAAATTGCCCAGGCAACATGAAAACAAGCCCCAATGAACCCAGTAAGTGATATTATAAGAATTATGAAGCCGACAACTAAAAGTGGTGTTTGAAGGAAACTTTCACAGGTGGTGCTGCTCCTTGCCATCCATAATCCTGCACCAATTATCGGTATCGAGGCTAAGAGGGTGAAAAGGTTCAGAAACCCTATAACTGTGTTGCTAAATCTATACATTTTATGTATTTTCTTCTTATGAAATTGCTCTGTGTGTTTGTTTCTTGCTTCATATGATATATACTTGGTTTCTTGAATCTTTATTAGCTTTATCTTTTGATGGGATGGGAGACCAATACAATGTATTATGCTTTTGAAAAATTTTCTTTGATTCTTGATCAACGAATTTAATGAGTCCTGCTTTTTGGTTAGTTGCTTTTCCTGGGAATAAGGTATTCTGAAGCTTTATCCGCGATCATCCACAGTTTGATAATGACTAAACTATTCTTCTTACACATTAAGGAAACATTATATTATTTTAAAACATATTTTGGGTTCCAAAGACTGCACAGCCTTTAAAAGATTTTTGGCCTTGAACAGTGTAGGAAAGTTATTTTAAACCTATCAAACACTTTCTGGAAAAATAATATTTATTGAATTACATCTTGTAATTCTTTGCCAAATACTTCAAAAGAAAATGAAACAAATTCTCTTTTATATCTTTAAGTCATTGTAGAAGCATTTTCTTTGAACAAATTCTGTTATATGGGGTGCCTCTTTTTTTTAAAAGAAATTGGTTTGGTCGTTCTTAACATAACTTTGCCAGAAATATTTAGACTATATATCTAGTGAATTCCGTGGTTATTCAGTATAGAACTTATTATGTAATATTTGACGGGTTAAATAATGGACGAAGATTTAGCCCACAACCATTTTAAAAAGTTTTTGGGAAAAATGAGTTTTAAAATAGTGATTTTTTTTTTTGGGAAAATGTGTGCTTAAAAAATAGGAATTTTTTTTTATTTAAGTGCAAAATATTTTATTGTGAAACGTGCAGCTGAAAATGAGTTTGACAAAAAAAAAAGGAGTTATTTTAATGGTTGTCAAACAGGACGTGAGATATTCGATCATTGTACTTTCAGTCGTCATGTCCTCTCCATTCAACATACCAAACACGTTTTATATTGTGAAAGGTTCATGTTAAAATTTTCATCACGCCTAGTTTTTGACGACGTTGTTGTAGCAATCTCAATTCTTAATGTTAGCGTATAATCCTACTTGGGTAAAATATAAAACTTTAACCAACATGTAAGCATATGAGTTACCCTTCTTAACAGGATTCATATTTTAACATGGAAACCTAAGTCCAATATGGTAGAATAATTCACAATGCTCAAATGAGTTATTTGATCCGTTTAAAGCTCAAGTGGACTATTGGATCTGAAGATTGACGTACAAGTCAAAGGTATGATCCCACATCGACTAAACATTAAAATAAAAAATAAAAAAAATAAATAATCAAAATATAAGGACATGAGCTACTCGACCTTTTAAGTGGAACTCCTGAAACACTTGAATGTAAAAGGAACTGATCGGCAGTGGAAAAATATATCCTTCTTGTTAGTAGAATAAAGGAATCAAGTTAACAATCCTATAGTTGAAGGCAAGTAAAGAATATATTCGAGGAAGATCGGTTCAAAATAATTAAAAAGTGGAAATTAGGAATGGAGCCAGCTTCGCTTCTTTTTCAAGCATTATCACTCCCCAAATTAAAAGAAAATATCTGAATATTTCTATGTATCATCCTCTCTTCGCCTTTCTTTATTGAGCAATTTTATTTTCATTTTGGCTCCACTAACGTGACTATTATTCTATTACTACAAAGTTCTCCACCCTTTGATGTCTTTAAGATTCCTTTACTGCTTGCCAAATTCAATCTGTGTGCCTATGGATGCTTTTTGTTTCCTTAATAAAATACGGTGTTTTAACATTTATGTTATACAAAAGTCGCAGAATAATATAATTTTATTAATTACAGTAAGAACTGAACAAGTAATCTGAAATTGCAGGAAATCATATATGGTAAAAGAGAGAATGAATTTCCAAACCGAAGCATGTGTAAACGTAGTTTCTTTAAAATAGATTTGCCATCTCACGGTCAGTGCTTGAGATCTCATTGAGCGACTGTTTCTCAGTATATAATGGAAAAATCAGTAAAAATCGGGTATTACGTTTCTACACTGACAAACTAAATATGTCTCTGAACAGAACCACCAAGACTTGGAACAATAAATAAAAACTGTTGCAGAAATTAGAAAATGGAAACTGTATATTGAGAAATAGAAAGGAATTCGTGTGTCAAGAGTGAAGGAAAATAGACCATATAGATAGGCTATAATGGAGAATTAACAGGCCGTAATTTCTAAGTGTTACAATCATTAACCATCTCCGGCTGTTAATCTCTCCATTAACGCAAATATAAACCATATGAGTTTCAGGAGTTACACAATTTGGAAGGTTTTATATAGTGAAAATGATAAAAATATATAGGAAATAATGGCAAAACGTGGACCATTCTAAGGGTCAAATTTTGGTTCGTTCAGTCTGACATTCGTGTACGCAGGTCATATTCACACACAAGTTTAAGGCTCGAAGTGCTAATTCGGTTCATAATTTGCACCCCCTATGCATGTAGGTGAAGAGAGCCTCTATCCTATATACATGATTACACCCTTCGAAAATGTAGCCATATATAAACAAGTTATTGCCTTGTCATTTTCTTATGTCAGACAAACTTTAAATAATTTTTCCTCCAACAAATTTATCTCTTCTAATTCATCACGTTGAGGTTCAATTTTTTCAGTCACCCGATCATCATTTTTGACAAGTAAATATATGATTTCGATATTCTTACGAAGGAGAACACGAATCAACTTTGATATTTCAAAATGATCTAATGAGTCCCACTTAAAATTATGTCAAAATCGTCCCAAAAGGTATTTTTTTTCCAACAATCCCCTAGACGAACGAAGATTGAGAATGACACGAAATTGAGAGATATAAAGACTTTGTGATATAGTTCAACAATTGAACATTGAATAGGATAAGTAGGTATTACACTTTGAACTTTCACTTGTGAAAGTATATTTACTTTACTAGTTGACTAGTGGACATAATGTCTTTAAATTGTTTTGTATTTTTTTTGTAAATGATGATATACTCCAAACAAGATTCTTTTTAATACAATTTAGTTTTCATTGTTAACTTTATTTATGGCCATGAATATACCCTGGTTCTGCCAGAGTTTATAAGAATTGAGCTTCGTACAATCTCCTTAGAAGCGGCCCTACTTCTTTCTCACATATGTGATTTCTTATTACAAGTAACTCGCATTACTTCACTTGATTTCCGATACATAAGAATCATTAAAATCATATTCCTTATCCTTTATCCTTATGAGCATCACTGTTACATAATAGGAGTGGACATGGGATGTTCGATGAAGTCTTTACAATTAGGTTGTTCCTTTGAATCTAGATATTGGAATCTCTAGTTAAATAAGTTAGGTTTCCTTTATATTAACTTCTTCGTTCAAGAGTTTAATTCTAATTCTTTTCGATATTTTTCCAACTAACTCTCTATTTAACCATTTGGTTAACGGATCCACAATATTATCCTTTATTCTAACACAAACAGAGATAACTCCAATTGCGAGTAGTTTCCTTATAGTGTTTTGTATACGATGAATATGTATAGACTTATCATCATACATGTTACTTTATACCCTTCCAATTGTAGATTGACTATCTCAATGTATGAATATTGCTGGCACGGGTTTTGGCCATTTCGAAATATTCTCTAAGAAGTTGTATAGCCACTCAACCTCTTCATCACATTTGTTTAGAGTTATAAACTCAAATTTCATGGTAGATCTGACTATAGCTATTTGTTTAGAGGATTTTCATGATATAGCTGCACCTCTCAATGTGAATACAAATATACTAGTAGGCGATTAATGAGAGAAACTCTCAAACTCTAGTGAGAGAAGTTCTCACTAAAGTTGTCCTTTGCATTTCTGAGCTCATTGAGATTGAGAGATTCATGTTTTTTATTTCAAGTTTTGTCTTTCCTTCGGTAATTTTTGAAGGAAACTTGTTGTTTTTGAAAGGATCTTGGATGGCCATTAAGGCCTTTTGAGATTCATGTTCAAAAGATTTTAACAATTTCCTCTTTCTTAGAGGATTTGTGTTACGCCCCATTTTATATCAGTCAAAAGTCTAGATTTCTTATTCAAATTCAAAGGTTCGACTAGTCAAACTCAAAGTCAAATAGGGACTTATATGGAATAAATTATTTTTTTGGGATTTATTTTACAATTGACAATATTTGAGGGTTTAAGGTGGATTAAATTTAAAGTTGGGGATGTACTTATCTATTATTGGAAGTTAAATGACTAAATGTTATATCAAATGGAAGATGAGGGACTTCTTTTTCGAATTTGAGTTAGTGCTCCACTAACTTTGCCTTTTAAATCCATTTTTCATTTTCCATACAAACACAAAGAGAAAGCTGAGGTGATATAGAGGCAGAAAACTCAAAAAAAAAAAAAAAAAAAAAATTGAAGAAAGAAGAAGAAAAGAAAGAAAAAAAGAAAGAGGAGGAGGAGGAGGAGAAAGAGAAGAAGAAGAAGAAGAAGGGAAAAGAATTAGTTCAAGCTTGATTTTCATTTTCCCTTATTTTTTTTTTCTTCAAGAGGTAGAGGAAAATTTTATGCTAAAGTTGCTAGGTTTTAATTTGTTGGTTTAATTTTCAGATTAAGTGGAAGGAGTATAATTTCAAGCCAACCTTCTTGATTTGTTATGCTAATTGCATAAGGTAAGCAATTCTAGCAAATATTAGAATTTTTAATTGGGTTATTGAGTAAAAATAGTTTGTGGAAGTGTTATGTTGATGGAATTACTCACATGGCAGCATGAATTATGGAACAAGAAGAAAGTTAAATTGGTTTAGTTGTTGATTGCTAGTTTTCACTAGATTAAAAGGTGATATTATTTCTATGATTAAGATGAAGGTAAATTTGGATATAGTAAATATTGGTGAAGGTATTAGAACGTAGAATTATCTCCAATTGATTAAAAGAAATCTGGGAAATTTATTCAAGTATCGAGAAATCAAGTTTTAGTATTTGGTTATTATATTTAGAGCTACTTAGTATGATAGTGGTTGAATTTGTTATTTTG